AAACTGTTTGCATATTGATTCCTACATTAATATACAAAATGCAATAATGGCTTAGTTGGGGGTATTTTTGGAATCTGAAAAGTATAATAAATCAGATTTTATGCTTAATTAGGTAACTTGCTGAGTTGAATCCTAGTCATGGGTTTTTACTTATACAAATTGGGTATTATTTATAGGAACAAAAAGTGAAGGGTTTTAGGTACGGCGAATTGAATTTGAAGGGTGTAAGCCAAATTTACTATTATATTTTTATTGGCTAGTGATGATATCACTTTTACATAATTAATTGCTCATATATGTTAATAAGTTTGGTTACTATCATAAACCCTACACGCTTGAGCAATTAATTTTCGTTTGAGTGTCTTAATTAAATTTTTCCAGAGCCTAAGGCCCATCTTTTTTATAATTAAATATTATGTATTACCTATATAATATTTAATTCCCAAATCGTATTTGAGGCTTCTACTTGGCCCAACTTCCAATTACTCCCACACTTATAAAGACTCCGCATTTTCTTCTTTCTACCAATGTAGGACAAAAGTCTTTGAATTTCATTCAAACTTCCAAAAAATAGCAATAAACAAGCCTACATTTAGTTTTTCGTAAATTCAAAGACATTTCTAGCATTTCATGGAAGAATTTGTAAAAGATTTATGTAATGGCCCCCCAACTAAGTTATTCGCACTCTTGGGGGGGCACGGGCACCCCCGTCTATTTAAAATAAATAGTAATTGCCCTTTGTCATGACAACGGATGGAAATACACAATACTATTTGCAAGAGCAACCACTATTCACGTGAATAGTGGTTGCTCTTGCAAATAGTATTGTGTATTTCCATCCGTTGTCATGACAAAGGGCAATTACTATTTATTTTTTGTTTTTTTCACAAATTTTTTTACATCAATAATTAGTTTGGATAATATTTTCGGATAAGATTTTCGGGTTCCTACGTGTCAAGACTATTCATAATCGGATAAAATTTCTGGATAAGATTTTTGGGTTCAAATTTCAAATGAATTTTCAAATTCAAAATTTAGATAAATTTTTTGGTTCAAATTTCGAATGAATTTCAAAATTCAAAATTCAGATAAATTTGGGTTCAAATTTCGGATGAATTTCAAATTTCAGATAAATTTCAAATTTCAAATTTCAGATAAGATTGTCATCCTATCAAATCAAGCCACGTGGCATCTCTATATGGCCAAAATTTTCTATAAAACTAGAGGCTGAGCTCATTACCTCTCACACCACATCTTTCTATATTTTCATTTATCAGAGTTTAGAATTCATACTCCATTCTCAATGGAAGATTTGAGGAAATGCTTGGAGAGGCAAGAGCGAGAAACAAATGAAAGAAGCCGTAGACGAGCTGAAAGGCAAAGGTTGCATAGAGAAGAAGATGAACCAGTTGTCATAGCAATAGCTTTGCTGGATGAAGAGAACCAAGGTCGTCGCTGTGGTTCACAAATCGGCCGTGGCCCGAATGTGGACAGACATAGGCATTCTCGGGGTAAGAATCTTTTGAAAGATTATTTTATCACAACTTCTTTGTACTATGATGTTGATTTTCGAATGCGATATAGAATGCAACCTCATTTGTTCAATAAAGTCATACATGATATTTGCAATTATAATGCATACTTTGTTCAAAAGTGTGATGTTGCTGGGATTTTGGGACTTCTTCAGGAGCAAAAGCTTACAGCTGTTATACGAATGTTGGCGTATGGTTCATCTGCTGATCAGGTGGATGAGATTGCTCGGATGGAGTAATCCACTACGTTGGAGGCCTTGGTAAGATTTTGTGATGCAGTCGAAACACTGTACACTAGGAACTACATGCACAGACCTACTCCCAGGGACCTCTAACGGCTTCTACAAAAAGCCGAAGCTCGAGGATTTTCAGGAATGATTGGTAGCATCGATTGCATGCACTGACAATGGAAGAATTGCCCAACTGCCTGGCAAGGAGATTACGACAATAGAAAAGGCCAAAAAAGTATTATCCTTGAAGTTGTTGCTGACTTCGATACATAGGTTTGGCATGCCTTCTTTGAAGTTGGAATATCCCAAAATAACCTCAACGTGCTGGGTCAATCCCCAGTCTTCAACTATGTTTTGAGAGGTCAAGGCCCCAATATCACCTATCAAGTCAATAATACAGTATACCAGATAGGGTATTATCTAGCTGACGGCATCTACCTGAGGTGGACCACATTTGTCAAATCCATTCTAAATCCTCGATCCCATAAGCAAAAATTATTTGCTTCATATCAAGAAGGATACATGAAAGATGTCGAAAGGTGTTTTGGTATCCTTCAAGCTCGGTGGTTGATTATTCGAGGTGTGGCCCGTATGTTTGATGAGGAGGTCCTCAGAAGCATTATGATGACTTGCATCATCCTTCATAATATGATTGTGGAGGATGAGTATGATTACGATGCTGCAAAGGTCTACGAACCGGATCCCATGAACATGACCTTGACACGAATTTATGAAAGGCCCATGGGGCCAAGTGGAGAACCATTTGAACCGGATTCGTTGGTTAGGGATGGTCGTTTCATGACCCGTCTGGTAAATTGATATACAGAGATGCAATCGTCGTATATTCATGAAAGGCGTCAACTTGACTTGATGAAGCATCTATAGGCTGTGAAAGGCAATGACGGTGAATGATGAAGCATAGATGCTTTGGTTATGTTTGATTTAGTTATGCTTTGGTTGTGTTGTATTTTTTTATTTTTTATTTTAATGGTTTGGTTGTGATTTGTTTTTATTATTGTGCTTTGGTTGTAGTTTATTTTTTATTTTTTATTATGCTTTGGTTGTGGGTTTTCCTTTTAATTATGTTTTCTTTGATGTATGAAATATGTTGAATAAAAAAGCATTTTATTGAATGCTTTGTTTATTAAATAAAGAAAGCCAATACAAGTCATTAAAAATTACTACTACTAAAATAAAATACATGAATTACAACAACTTTAATACAAAACATGAAAAATACAAATAAATAAAAGCTACGCCAACTAATTTAATGGTTTTCATCATTTAACCAATCTGTGTTGCTAGGCCCATCGTCACGGAAAAGTCTTCTTCTCATAACATCCCTCCGTTCTAGCTTCCAAAATTGTTTTATTTCAGGGGACATATGGCTTGTATCCATGACCATGGTTTCCCGATCTTTCTTGTCAATGATTTCTTTGCGCAAAAACTCCCTTTCTTGTATATATTCTACTCGAATTGCCATTTCGTTCTCTTGGTGTTTCCGTTCCATTTCAATTCTTATGGCGCTCTGCCTTTCGATCAATGGGCCTTGGCTCCTTTTCGATGGGTGAGTCTTGACTCATAGGGGAATCGAGAGGTGAATCCGATGTTGTTGAATCATGGAGTGACGTCTCGTTTAACATAACGACGGGACCCGTGTGAATAATTCTGAAGTGTTTGCAATTTTTCACCACCTCCCAATATTCATGATGGTTGAAAGTTTTTTTGCCTTGCCCAGTTGCACCAAACCACATCTGTGCTTGAATCATCTATTAACAAAAAATATATAATGGAAATGCAACAAATATTTAAAATATATTGGATATGCAAGTAACA